TGGATTTGTGCTCTGCAGCCAGCCAGCCTTTCCTGATGCCTCCAGGAGGGGCTAGGGAGGGAAGACACCAAAGCTACCAATATGGAGAGATGAAAGAAAAATGTGGAGCTGGTGGGTGATCACATCCCTAGTCCCTTGGTTTGCCATGAGCTCCAGTGTTCCTTTCTCCCTGAAATGTTCACTCCACTCTCTCGACCGGAACCTGCTAAACTCCTGTTCCTTCTCCTACTGTCTTACCTTATTGCCCTCTTCTGTAATCTGTTCTCTTTACCACAAGCCTAGACTGCTCTCCCTCAGTTGTCCCCACTTCTCCGTTCCTTAATCATCCTCCTCTGTTTTGCATTTCACGTCAAAAATATTTTTCCAACAACCCCCAGGTCTTCAAAGCTGTCCGTTTTACTCATCACTTGGCCAAAACCCCTGGCACGCTGTGCCAGAGTTAGCAGCATACTTCGATACTTTGCAGTTTAAATCACAACACAGTTAGAAGTTCGCCTATTTTATTGATTTATTTTCATCGTATTCTCCACAAGCTCCACTCTGGAAGATCAACTCTTCTTTGAAGAGGCACTAGGTGCCCTGTACTGCCTGGACTACCTGTGGGGCCATGCGGCCCATTTGGGTACAGACTGCACCTTGGCCCCCGGGCCTGTTGGCTCATTTTACACATTCCAGTGAAGCTGTGGCTTTTGTGGCTGAAGAAGAGGGTTCTCACCTACAAACGGTTTCCTGTGAGGACTCAGTTTGGAACAGGAAGACTTCTGAAGCAAACCAAACTGCAGGTTTGTCTGAAGAAAAAAATCTGGACTGCTTTTAGGAGCTCTTAGGAAAGGTTGACCTTTAAAAATAAAAGTCAGCTTTAATTCCTCTCAAGTGGCACTGCAATAGCTGACCTTAGCCATGCCCAGCCTCAGTGCCAGTCACAACTAGATTCCTGACGTCTCTGCAGAGCAGAAAGAAGGAATGCAAGATGTCCAAGAGGTATTTGTATGAACTAACCTTGCCTAAGAGGAAAAAGTAGCCTAGGTTTTCTCTGTAGTCGTTGTAAGAGTCGGTCAGAAAATCAGCATTGTCTCAACATTGTAATCAGGAACATGAACAGTACGCTACCTGACAACAGCCTGTTTCGAGCGCAGCGGCCAGTCCCAAGGATGGAATGTGCGGTACAAAGTTCCTGGAAAGTACCTGGCTGGAACCGTTAGAGATAACTGCATAGCTACTGTCAGAAAGGATGGATTGCAACTGTTGCCATAACATCGATGAAGAAATCATGAACTTTAGACGAACTTTGCTTCATTATAATACCAAAACACCCCTCCTGGTCGAAGGCTACCCGCCTCCAAGACTTACCACGCCTCGGACACTGACCCTGCGCCTGCGTGATAGCCTCGCTCGAGAAGGGCGGAGATATGATAATTGTATTCTGAGAAGGGCGGAGACTCCTGAGGCAGAGGTGGAGCAAGGTGTGTTACTAAGCATAAAAGATGACTTCTGAACAACGGAAGTTTGAAGCTTCCCCACCAAGGACCACGACGATCGACGACGCAGCACCAGCTGGACCCGGGACCATTAGGACATCGTGAGATCAGCAGTGGTAGCTATAACCTCTCTTTCTCCTCTCTCTAAACTTTACTTTTCTCCTTTCTTTCACCCATCTCTAACTATCGCGTGCCTCCTCACAGGCAATACAATAAAGTTTTACTGTGTGATTACTGCTATCCCCTTTGGTGTTGGTCACCTTAATTTTGCACTTTCGAGATCGTAGCAAACGAACCAGTCGTCAAGGAAAGAGATGCTCTTCCAGAGAAGAATCCCAGGCAGTTGCCTTCTGAAGGAGCTACTGTCTTGGGAGAGCCCGGGGAATTGGCCTTATGGGGCTAGAATTGAAGTTTCTGAATACCTCATCACCCCTTGTCACTTAGTCCTTTTATCTAACTGTAACTGATTTACTGGGTCTTAGCCCATTAAATAACAAAATGCTGGAAAAACCCCAAATCCCCAGGAACAGTTGTGTAGTGACGTGTGAGTAAAAGCTGTAGACGTTAATGGCTTAGCTGAGTTTTAGTCAGTTTAATATGAAATGAGGTGAACAAAACATGTCAGAGGTGAGAAGTCAGAAGCGAAAAATGAGCTGGGCTTTTCCTTTTCATAGCGCTGTGGATTCTTCCTATCCCTGTTGCACTTCATGAAATTTGACCTAAAGTTCCTTCTATGTGTGGAGGAAGAACCTTGTTTGTCTGTGGCAGGTTCCTTCAACTGATGTGGATCATGCCTGGAGGTGAACATGCTCCACGTTTACTGCAAGTCAGGTCTCAATGAGCACCACATCTAGGAGCTCTGAAGTACAGCTTATCACCGTCTTTTTAGTCATAAACCCTCTTCCGAGGTCAGAAGAGTGAAATTTAGCAAAGAAAATAGGAGTCATCCAAGAAATGCCTTGCCTGGTGCATCGAGCTGAATCTGTCTTCTAACGGTCACTGAACGTACAGCTTCCCCTGTCCTCCTCACAGTGCGTTGAACAGCCTCGCTGAGGTTTCTCAGGTGCTGTACGCGTGAGCTACAGGCCTTACCCCTCCCCTGCTTGCTATGTCATTACACATGTGATGTCCAACTGCTTACTGAGGGGGCTTCTGTCTCTCCGATCACTGTGGTGTCCGCATACCATAATCCTAATTTAAGAGCTGGGGGAAATATAAGGACAATGCAGCTAAGCGATTTAACCTGAGGTGAGAAGTCAGCAATGAAGCATTAATCACAGTCCTCCACAAGGTCAAATCATTATTTAACATTACTTTTGAATTCCTTTATAAACAGGAATACAAATGATGCTTTGCTACACTGCACAAATGCACATGCTGGATGCTTGCATGACTGAAAGGAGAGCAGACAAGCAAGCAGACATCAGTGTTAGAGGATGCCCTGGCTACAAGGTTAGCTCTACATGAAATAAGACTTCTGGCACCAGATAATCAAATCAGGATTTCACAGAATGTCTTTCTGCCCTTTCAGGATGATCTTTATTAAATATATTCTGCATTGGAGTCTTCATTTCTGTTCTGTGTGGCGTACAATCTCCTAACTTTGTTTACCAAGTTATCTGCATTAGAGTAACACTAGCAATGGAGTAGTCTAATAGCTCTGCCAGCTTGATGTCCTCAGAAAACTGGAGCACTGTATGATTGAGGGTTGAACCTTTGCTAGGATTGTACAGGTCTCTGGACTTTCTGGAAACTTTGGCAACACGTTGAGATGCAGAGTTGGGGAAAATTCATTCCTATTTCATGCTAGTTGCGGTGCAGCTGGAATCTTAATAAATTTTTCATTTTGGAATTCACTATATAAAGGCTTTTTGACGATAGAGACAGTAGGTTAAAGATGGGCTCACATGAACTTAAAACAGCTGTTTCTTTAAAGACACCACATTCCATATCATAGAAAAGTTAAACAAACAAAGCGGTCAGGACAAATCCTTCCTTTCCCCACGTGTTTGGATGTGTTGAAAGAGGAAGCAGTATTCTGAGAACAGTCTTTCCCTCTGCTCCCATGTGGTAATACAATTGGTTTTGGCAAAGACAGGAGGGGAAACGCTTCCTCTTTTTAAAAGGGGGAACTCAACCTCTCAAAATTTCAGAGACCATGTTCTTGCACACATTCTTCCTGCTTTAATCTAAAAAGACTATCTCTGCACAGCCAAGATTATTTTTTTCTCTCTCCCCCAATCTGGCTTACCAATGAACCTGTAATGAAGTGGCACAGCACATGGGGACTGCCTTATCTGTGCCCTCATCATAACCTTTGAACCAGCTGACTGATTTCAGCCACATTTGATGGACAGTAACTTCCCGCTCTTCTGTGAAAATCAGCCAGTGGATAGATGAAAGCAGCTCTACTAAAAGAGTGAGGAAAAGGCAGGGAAATCTCAACCCTCTTCTCTTCTGACAGCAGCTGGCCAGCCAACTAGCACATGCATCGATCATCTGAGCTATGCTATGTGTTTTATGCCTTCCTGAAAGCCAAAAATTGAAGCTGCTACTGTGGAAGAAGAGATAGGGAACACACAGGGAACTGAATTTTTACAGTGAGGAGGTGTACCAGACACAGGACATCGGCCTCCATTAGGATCAGCACTCACAGTGTAGCTTTGGTGAAAGGTGAAGAAAAGCACCAGTGAAACAAAATGCCTTAAAAAAAACAAAGTGAAAATGCTTCCCCATTTTTTCCATATCCCACGTTAAATCAGAATATAATGAAAATTTAAAAGTGCAGAAGAAACATGTGCAGATTACATATAGCTGGGTGGTACAAAGAATCAATGCCTGCTCTCCTTACATTTTCTGCCTGCAGCGACTCCCAAGAAGTGAATATTTACAAATTAAGTAACAAACCTCAAAACCATAGCCAAAAAATTTGCAATTCCCACATCAAGTTATGATTTACACACAACTTCATTCATGGCAAGTTACTTTTGCTGACAGAATTTAATTTTTCACTCTCATTTTCATGTAATAATACATACAAAAAAATTTGTGTCACTCTCAAAATTAGTGCACAGTGCAAAGGTCACACTTTATGCCCCAATGTTGGTGTGGACATAACCTTCATGTGCATGAACATGGCTATGCAGGTGAGATTGTATTATGTAACATGGGAGCCACATCAACCTGGATTTACATTTTTTGAATTAAGAATACGTATCAGTAGATAAATAAAATGAACCTACTTTTTAACTCCCACTTTAGCTGCAAAGTTTTCCACAGACTTCAGTGGATTCTGGACCAGGTAGGCAAAATTTAATTAGCCATAGAAAATGCAGGGCAGAAGCTCAGGGGATTGAGCAATACCTGAACATACAGGGCTATCTGGCAGTGCACTGGTATGTTCCCATTATTCTTAGCGATGAAGTATGAGTAGACCTTGCAATGCAAAACACACTGAATATTTGTGTTTGATTTATTCATACCAAGTTCATACCATCATGATAACTTTACAGTTTTGCACCAGGTAAAAAAATATTCAATAGAAAGATTACGCCACGAGGGACATCCTTAAGAAATACACACAATTTCTCATTACAAAAAATAAGTCAGATCAGGTCTTTCTTTACAAAACGTGATTTTCTTTTACAAACCTTATACAATATATCATTTTGATTAGCTTTTGCAATAAATAGTTCATCAAAGTTAAATTAACTAGTATTATATATATAATTGCTTTTTAAATTAATGTTGTAATACAGTCCAAGGTATTGCTACAACTTAACAGTGAGCCACCACAAACAGTGGCAAAAATTACGTATCATATAATTCCTCATTTATAGTCAAGTTTCTTGTACTTTAAAAAAATAATATGATTCTCTGAAAAGTCTGTGTATACATCTTCGCATATGAATTTTTACTGTCTTAAGAATGCAGCAATAAGAAGATAAACTCAACAGCCCATTTGTTTTTCTTTTGGTCCGAGTGAAGTACGAGGAGTGCATTTAGGCCTTTTCTGAAGCTGGTACTATTCTTGAACCAGAATCTTCTTGTTCAGAGTCCTGAAGGTGCTCTGTTGTCTTGCTGGCCTCATCCCCAGTCTCATCACTGTTATTTTTGGATTCTTCTGAAATGACAGTTAGCTTGTCATAAAAAAGATGCTCTTCTTGTGGGAGTGGAGAAAAAAACTGCGCACCACTGGGAGGCTTACTCAAAAACTGTGAAGGAAAGAGGAAATGAGAATTAGGCTGCACCAGTCATACTATCCTGTTTGCTTAGAAATACGTTTTATATTGTTTTCCACACATCAATTGGTTTTCTCAACCCTTAGAAGTCCCAGAATAGTGACAATGTAATAACCTCTCTGCTCACTTTAACATCCTGTGCAAGGTTTAGAAGCAAGTCAGAAGTGCCTTTATTTGCAAGAAGATACCCCCGGGGTTAGCGACTTCTCTGGAATATAAACTTTTTTAAAAAAATAAAATACATAGGTTTTGTTTGTAAACAAAAACTAAGAATGGTGACTTGACTGTAGGCAAAGGAGTTCACAGAGATATTTGTCAAACAGCTCCAAGAGATGTGAATCGTGCCTGCCATCTCAGAGAGCTGTCTGCTCAGGCATCAAATAGTGATGCTTTAAATGTCAACATAAACCATAACCATTTAGTCAAGTAAAGGAGAGAGAAGGGGATTTGCGGGGCTATGCAGTTCAGTGAGAAAGATGACTTAATTTTAGTACCGAAATATCACAACTTCCTCCCACTCCCTGTTCTATTGGTAGGATGGAACCAGCCTCAAGAATCAACATGGACTTTGCACGATGTCATGACTGTATTTTGAATGTCAGCACAAGAACAGCACACCTACTCAACACAGTAATAATATGTCAACCACTCATTTTGGCAGCTGAAGTGGCAGTTCATTTTATTAGTAGGGGCTGGAGAAGTACAACTGCCTTTTCTTCCTGTGACCTGACCCCTGTCTATTACTTTAGTACATTTTATGTAAGAAACAAGCTGCTCTGTCAGGAGTCCTGTTCACTGTAATTACAAAAATAAATACTAATATTATTACTATTAGACCTTTTTCTAGCAAACTGTGATTTGAAATGTTCTGTCAGTAACCTGTAATCTCAAATGTTCATGTAGTGAAATCAATGCCTTTGATAAATGGCATTTTAGGTAAGCATGACTGACCTTTGATTACTGTGATTAACCACTATAACCTACTAGCACAAAATGAAAATTCTCCCTTTCTTATGAGAAACCTGTAAGAAAAATGGAATTTGACCACATCCTGTACTGATCAGAGCAATGCTACCTTACCAACAGCTGAGCTCCAGGTTCAGCAAACTACTGTGTGCTGAGCATGTGCTCAACTTAAAGCACAAGACAATTGCTAAGTCAGCTGCAAAGCCTTAGTCTGCTAAACTTTAAATGAGTCAAAATGAAAGACACAGAGAAACCAGGAAACTAAGAATAGTATAGGTTGCTAACTTTGGCATACGTAACACTCTGTATAACCTTGTTTCTTGGAGGAGATTCTGATACAGCCTTTTTATGCTGCTATATGGGTAACAAGGTCAGTGACATTCCCCTACAGTAATGGCTAACATTGCCCTCATTTTATCTTGAATTTTCAGACTTCACTACATTCTTTACTTAAGTTAAAACTCATTATTATATTTGTGAAAGAGCTTTGTTTCAGGAGAACAAATGTGCAATTTTAAGTCTAAAATGAGACAGGGGAGACAGATACCTCAGTTGTTTGCTATTTAAAAAGAGGAAATGAAGGTTAACACCTGTTATTCTCTCACTTTAAAATGAAAGAAAACATCCTGTTTCTAAGCCATATAAAGCTTCCTATTACAAATTATGCAGTTGCTTTAGGAATAAAAGTCTATGCCAAGTTTTTAAACTGTTCAGCTTTTAAATATTTTCGACCATTCTGTGCAGAACAGTTCAAAATGACAGTATTTTAGAATTTATTACACATCCGTATACTTCAAAAGGAAGTCTAATTTCACTGCTTCTTACTTATGTCTGTGCAGCGCCACAGAACTTGGTGAAAAAACCTGAGGTAACATTCATGCAGAATTTATGACCTTATAATGCCAGAAATTAAATATTAAATGAACTAACTTCCACTACCTTTCTCATGCTGAAAAGTACTTTCCTTTGTCAGCTTTTTCCAAAGTTCATGACTTCTTCATTTACACTTATTTGAATGGATTTTTATGTTTGGCAGAAGAGCGAATTTTACCATACATAACAACTATATAACAACAAGTAACCAGCATTGCTCCTTACAGTCTAAAATGCCCTCAGAATAGTCCAAACTTTACCGATGGCTAACCATCAGGTCCAAATGAAAGAAGGCAAAATAAAAGAAGCTCTAAAGGTTTTGGCACAGAGAGCCTTTGAAAAGCACGTGGTTCTGCTGAAAAAGCTGATTTTGTGTTAGGTAGAAAACAAACCTCTTTCAAGTGTTGGGGGAAAATATATGAAGGGCAGAAAACATGTTTGGTGAGTCGATAGAGATACAAAAAGGAAAAGAAACAAACAGGAACAGATATTACGACGACCAGCATTGATCCTATAAGAACGGTCACAATTATCCACACAGGAGTTACACCTGCAAGAGACAAGAAAAAAAAAAATTAAAACCGTGACTATTAATTTCTGAATATATTCTTTTCAAATTATCACTTTCTCCACAGAATAAAAAAAAACCAAACAAATTATTATAAAATTGTAACTGCAAACATAAGTCTTTGTTTCCAGATGCAAAAGACCTCTTAGCCCTTAAATTTTTAGTCTGAATAGGCTGAGGAAGTTGTCAATAAAGTAAGCTTACAAGCCATTATATTTAGACATTTACAATTACATACTGGTGACTCTACATGCAATCCTAGCCAAATGATTAAAGGAAAAAAGACCAACAGAACCATCCACAAGGTGATACCAAAGCTACTGTACACTCGTTGGTGTTTCACAAGTGTAGGAATTGACACATAACACTACCAGAGTATAGGCTTTCACTTTTCTCTGAAAGAAATCTGTAAAAATGGCAGCAAAGTAAAGACTGCAGGGCACAAAAGTCTGTAAAATTCTAAACTACTGAGGCTTTAAAAAAATTTTGTCATGCACAGGGCTTTTGTAACAGGCAACGGGAATGAAGATATATCCATACATCACTGTATAAATGTTTTAAACCAACCTATGCTTGCTAGGCACTGTTCTAGCCACGAACAAGCAACACCACCACCAAAACCCACCTGCAATTCAACTGCAGTGCATGCAGATAATATACATGTGGGAAAAATAAATGAGGAAACATTTTATGAAGAAAAACATAGGAGAAACAGGTTAGCTCAGTAGCTTCCCCAGGCTTCTGCCAGATGGCTTCCTCATTAACTTGTGTCTGTGCCTCTGATTTTTCACATGTTATCTGAGGGTGTAAGTTAGCTGAAATACACATTATGCATGTGAAAAAGACAGTATCTAGGACCCCATCCTTTCTCTTAATTAGGGACGTGAAGCTCCCTGCTAAGACAACAGGGTCATGGTGGTTATTGCTGGACTCCACAGACAGAAGCTAAGGTGTCATGGCTGGAAAGGAAAGCGCTTTTGGTACTTAAATGCCTTCAAAATGAGAAGGAAAGTATCTACACAAAATATTTGTTTATATTGTTGATTAATAACTGCTGTGTTTCACAGAGAAAGAGGATCATGGCCTAGCCTCGTGACAGACACTGGCAATATCACCACAGATGAAGCAGTTACAAATGTATGGAACAAAGGCTTTCATAGAATAATAATACAGGTGATGGTAGAAGAAATTCACACAGTGTGATCAGTGAAGAGCCTATGCTCCATTTAACTCTGATTTGCAGAGTACGAGGAACGCAGAGGCCTCTACAGCAAAGTAAAGCATCATGCCATTGGTGCCATATTGCTTGTAGTTCTCACTTCGTTTCCAACTCCTCTGCTCCAAAAGCACACAGGTATTAACCACCAAACAATGCTGAAGTAACAAACACATCAATTTTTGGAAGATTTACACGTTACACCAACTTTCATTTTGAATGGCTTTGCGTATTTCCCAGTTCCCGACAGCACGTGTCCCATTGTATTGTCCCAGGTATTACCGTTGTGGGTTGTCTGTTCACAAAGGTCTCTGCTCAGTTCCCCTGTTTTGTTCCACTCAGGGATAACTGCTTGCACTTGAATACAATATATTGTCCACGGCTCCAACTGAGATAATATTTCAGAGTTATGTTTAGTATCTATGTGAGTTACCTAATAACAGAGAAGAATACAAAAAAAAAAAGCACAAGTCCAGTGAATGGACCAGCTAAGTAATTAAAATTACATTTAGTAGGATAAATCCTAGCAGTTACAGCCGCAATGTGAAAAAGGCTTTTAAAGGCAGAATGAAATGCCCTGCCTGCATCACATAACTGATAACTCTACATTGATTTCAGCTATGGTTAGAGTGTGAGACCATTCACACCACTGACGTTCTGGCTGCTTCTAGCAACATTAATGAAGTTTTAGGCTAAAGAGGCTTACAGAGATGTGATAAATGAGATCTGCTTGCAGAGAGAAACAATTGCTTAAACACATGAGATCAACTAAGAGTGCTGTCACAGGCAAACATAATTCAATTTGAGACAGAGCAAGTAGGATGGATGATCTAGACAAAACCAAACCAAACCAAAACAAAAAAGACAAAGGCTTGTGGAAGCTATTAGGTGACTGACAGCAGATGCAACTTGCTGTTTAGAGGCATGATTGGTTATGTCCCTGTAACTATACAGTCCCTGCAGAACATAGGAATCCCTACAACATGCCCCATTACGTAGTAACAGACTCTTTCTCGGGGGTGAGAAGACTCTATAGCTAGGTTTCAACATTTTGAGCAAGTGTCCACTTCAAAAAACAACCTATGAAGTTATATAGCCTATGTCTTTTGCTTCTTTGATCCCTATGAAATTTCCCAGACTTCTGCTCTGAAGTGTGCTTTTAACACTTGTAGCTGAAGTTCCTGCTTTCTCTGGTAATCTGCCTAAGTTTGCATCCCATATGCATAAACACCTTCATTTCTTGTAGTTTGGGAATTGAAAACCAGTCTGGTTTTGGGGAAATGATGATCCCTCATTTTCTGGAATTGAATGCCAAAGAATTTTGCGGTGTAACAAATACAAATCAGAATTATGTAATGAAGTCCTATTATATGAAAACTGCACTACGTACAAAGCACTAATTATACTGTGGCTGGTATCTTCCAGTAAAGGGCTTCCTTTTTCCCTGTAATAGAACTCATGACCCTATAATTAATATATTATTTATGATCTTTATCCATGCATTTTTTATTGAGAAGTCTTTTCAGCCAAGTAACACATCTGTCTGTGGAAGAGGCTGTCCATGAGAGGAAGAAAGCGAATTACAGCTGATACAAATTGAAGAAGTGAAGGTGACCACAGTTAATATAAGGCCTTATCCATGGTGATAGTCAAAGCCCAAAGTCCCACGAAGAGCACAAGTATTTTAATGACGTAAGATTTGAAACTAAGTCAGTTTATCATCACGATGACAGATACTGCTGAAGTTTACCCTTGCTTGTATGGCGGGGAAGACTGCGTCGCAAATAAAAACATCAGTAAACTGAGGGAATAAACTCTAATTATGGAAAGAGCAAATTATATCCATGCTACTGTTTAACTACACAGCTATCTGCCATTTGCTCTGAGTAGCAGTTTTAGTGACCAGACTTTATTACACTGTAATTAGTAGAGATACATTTTTACTTCAGTACCATTAGCTTTCAGAACTTCGTCAGTATGGTATTTTACCAAGAAATGCATATATCAAAGTCATGGAGTCCCAATACCCAGGAAGCAGAAGTTACCTCTGTATTGCTGCCTTTCTTCCAGTACAGTATTCTGTAATTCCATGAGCCGTAGTATTGCTTTAGAGGCCACCTGTCATGTTCATGTTCAGCAAAAGGGCCTATGAAATCCACATGCAGGGACCCAGACTCTGACTTCACTTTTACATCAGGTGGCCCAATGACTGCTGCATATTAGAATGGTGGAAGAGAAGAAAGAACGGAATTCAGTTTCACATTGTTTTCAATTCAGTATTTTTATACAACCCGTAACAATTCACACTTTAAATAATTTTATCTATTAGAAGAAAGCAATTTCCTTTCATGGGTCAGGCATAAATAAATCCTTTCCTTGTAGAACTGGTCTTGAAAGGGATTTATTTTTGCAGTTACATAACAGACACTATTGCAGACTACATTTTCCACACAGTAAATTAACTCAGTTCTCTTTTACCAGCTGTGGTGACTCCTGGGAGAGGAAGGACTATTTCTGTAGGTTATTCCTCACTTCTCCTTCTGGGCCAAGCTGTCACAACATCTGTCTTTTCTGAGTAGACCCTCTAGTGAAGTGTTCTAATGTTTCTTTCATTGTGATAATTTTGAAAAACTGAAGCACCTGAATTATTTCTGCATGTCTTACCAATTGCTCTCCTTAGACTGAATATTACGTTCTCGCATTTTGTAAATGGCTTGTCCTTATTACGTTTTTGTGCCACTACCTAAACTATTTCATGAGTAGCTTAGTTATCAACTGTGTTGTGTCAGCAATGAGCTCTCCATTAAAGTCTCCTACAATTACAGCAAATAACTCTGCCTCGGCTGCCTGTACTAAAGTTCTGCCTGTCTACAGTTACACTATAAAGTGTCTAAGAAAGGAAGAGCTCAATATACAGACAATTTTGCATTCCTCTAGAAATATATACTTCTATAACTAAAAATAAAACAAGCCTGCCTGCTGAACCTTACATACATGTAATGCTCATGAATATGTTGAACTTATGAAAAATAACGTGAGGATGGTCTTGGTTACTCTGGTTTTCTTAGGCTATTCCTACAATACAGTGTGGAATTTATTAACAAAGCACTAGCAGAAATAATAACACAGAAAGGAATATCGAATATTTTTATCACGATGCCTTGCTCAGATCAGCTATGACAACATTAAAAATCCTCATGTCCTCCTCAGAGATTTGGCCAGTTGGCCAGTACTCCCAGATCTCTCTTTACAGGCAGTTTTATACTCAGAATTTCCCATTCAGGAATAAGCTGCCTTTCCAAAGCCAAGCCTGCTCTGAAGGCCACATGCTCTTTCAAATATATGTCAAACTACAACTCTGTTAATGATTTACAAGTTTGCTCTCTACTCTGAAAATCCAGCCATACTTTTTGTATTACATTTTCTTTTGGCAAGTAATTTATACTTGCAACGTTGTAATTTTTTTTTCCATGCCATGTTTCAGTGATTCTGTTCTAGGCAAATTAAATTATATCAACATTATGCTTTTAGAGAGATAACCAATAAAAGCATTTTGAAAAACAAGGCTGTAAACTGTAAAATCACACTCTAAAATTCAATGCACAGAATGATGAAATTCAAGCAAATGGAGGCAGAACAAGGAAAAAAAATTACTTTCAAAAGTTTTTCTCAAAGATGAGGTGTAACAGATGCTTCCTGCATGGTCTTGTATTAACAGCTGTGAGGAGAAGAAAAGCCTTGGGTAACATTAACTACATAATCTAAAATAATTTGATTTTGCTTATGAGTGGAATAAGAATGTACAAAACAAGGGACGCTCATGGGTAAAAACCACTCTCTCATTCCCAAGCTCAGGTGACAGCAACATGATTAACATCTCTGTTGTGTACTCTAATGCAAGGCAGTGTCTAAATCATCTCTCACAAAAGACTGTAAAGCTTCACTAAGAGAATGGCAATATTGTGCAATGAAGATTTCTTGACTAAAAATTAATCTTTCTCTATGAAATTGTTTTGTTTGTTTGTTTGGGTTTTAATTAAAAAAATAAAAAGAAAGCTTTTTGCCTGACATAGCAATGAAGAAGACGGTAATTTAACTTATTTAGATATACAGGAAGTCTGAATCCTTGAAGAAAAGCTCCCCCAATCTTTATTTTAAGAGAAAAATGTACATTTTTTTAAAACTGCCACAAAAGAGGTTTCAAGTACCAATACTAACATCTAGCTATAATAGTGAACCAGCTACACTTTCTGAAAGCAACTTCTGCCTTCAAAAAATGAACGTGTTACAACTAAGATTTTATAGTTCAATGTAATGAAATTTAAAAATTATCTGCATGCTATGGCGTTTCTTATGGAGCCAGATTGTAAAGGTGCATTAATAGCAGACAATATTTTTTGTGGAAGATTAGAAAAAGGCTTACTGTCATCCATTGGCTTAAATCTGACGGTTGCCCAGTCTGAATGGTTATTTTCTGACTCTGCTCTGACCTGTAAAACGTAGTCTCCATATGCAGACAGGGAAGAGACATCGCACTCTGTGAGTCTCAAGTTTGTGCTCACATTTTCATATGTGTCTCCAGGAAAATTGATGCTGTATGGAAGAGAAACAAAACATATATGATATAGGAATTATAACTGACTAAATGTCTTTCCTCTCAATTAACTGGAAAAAGTGGCATATGTTTGTTAATACCACCAGTTATGACTCATGAACAAGAAAAATTAGATCCAGTGTATAAGAAACATCACTACTAGTGTGTACACATACGTTAAGCCTTTTATATGCATCTATAAATCCGTGATAAAGTTAGAGATTAAAATTATGATTCAGTAAATAGATGCCCTTTTCTTGACAGTGGTTACAGAACTTGATTCAACAGACAGTAGTTATCAAACAAGTCTGCAAATACTATGACAATACCACTATGCATGGCTTTGCTATCTAACTCAGACTTTGTTCAGAACTGGCTTATGATATGCATATAAGGAAGAGCCAGAGAAAATAGAGAAATGACTGGGAACCATTTAATATATTATATTCTTTCTGTTTTGCATCAAAAGCCCACCTAGGAACATAGTGATCAACAGGTAATTGCTCCCGGAACCCAGAAAAACCTTCTTTCGACTAAGATGGCCCAAACCCTCAGTTTGGGGGTTTCTCCTCAGCAGACGCCTGCCTGTGGGTGCCATCATCTCCGCTTTACATCCTACCCTGTCTTGGCCAAAGAATTCACCCTTCAGCAGGGCTGCGAGACCTCTGGCCCTTCACAGGGTTTCCTTGTCAAGCAGGGAGGCGGGCAGGAAGCTCACTGCTGGGCTGGGGAAGCGGCCAACTTCCTCGATGCAGCCACACAGACCACTTTTCCCAACGGGAAAGACCAACTCGGAAGGACACAGTGGGAAAACCAAATCAAAGCTAAAGCAACCCACCAAAACTGACAAAAGGGGACCTCAGAAAACGTGTCCTAAGTTTAAGGCACTGAACGGACAAGCCACCAGCCTGCAGTTCATTGGACATTTCCACTAAGGGCGTAGGCAAGCTGGCTGCACTGGTGGCAGAGCACAAAATGCTGCTGGAGTGAAAGATCAGATAAGGCCCTAATGCTCAGCAGGACTAAGTTTCTTGAGTCGCAAGTAACAGTTACATGATAGAGAAAAAACACACACAGAACTAATAACAGTGAATGTTAAAATGTGTTTGTGGTTCTAAAAAAAGTATGTACAAAGCTGCCTTGGGTGTGAAATGTGTAGAAAATGCCTCTGCCCTGTTATTTAGCTCAGATGATAAGCCTCTCTCAAGCTACAAGAAAGGGACAGCTACTGATCTTCCTATAAAAAAGGAAACAAATAAATACACGCAGCTGTAAAATGTGAATTAAAGAAAGTACAACTCCCCCAGACTTACCTCTTAGATTGGACAGTGTAACTTATATTCCCTTTGTGAAACCTAGGTGCATCCCACTGTAAAGTGCTACGAAGATTAACCGAAATAATTCTTGCATTTTGGGGCTTTGGCACTATTCCAGATACTGTGTGAGCAACCAAAAACAAACAAACAAACGTTTTAGTATGTGTTCCTCCAGTGACTTTGCAGTCATCCAAAACTTAATAACAGCCTTCTTTCTCTCCTTTGCCTCAGACTTCTGAGCTTATGCAACAAAACCAAATTATCCAGCATCAATGATTTCCAGTAAGTACAGTCTTTATGATATCGTCATTTATTACGCATGACTAAGTTGTTACTGCCTAAGACTTAGGGCTCATCAGGCTACGTGCTATGAACTCTCACTGAGATTGTCAAAATAAGATTTTTCTAAGTACTGCTCCAGTAGAACTATGGAAATAACATGGGTGTGTGGATTGATTTTTTTTTTTTTTCCCCGGAAGAGGAACATGAACAGTCTTTCCACATAGACCTGGGTATAAGACTGAAATAATTTAAAAAAAACCACCACAAGCATGTTTCTATTATCACTACATGGATTAGCATTACCATTTAAAATGCTTTACTCATTCTGTTAATAAGCCACCCTTTTGAAAAACAGAGATAAACAAGAAGCACCTTCGAAGGCAAGGGAGCTATTAAATATACTGTACAGATAAATGTATCAATAATTGGCACTCCTTACAACTGACGAAAACACAATTGTTTTGCTTTATTAAAAATGAATAAAGGAAACCCTGAAGTAGTATTGATGACCAGTTTGTTACTATTATGATCTAATTATTTTAGTATAATTGTTAGTATTGAACTAAAATAGAAAAGATTTTGGCCCATTATCACAACACAAACAATCAATGCAAACAAACCCTGTCAGATCAGATTGGTGCTTAAATGTACCAGGAGTAAAACCTAATGACATACATTCTAAGATAAATAACCTATTCTATATGTCTATCGTTGATGCATAAATACACGAAATTGATGTGTCGGTTACCCACCTTCAGCAGACGAGAGTTTTAAACTTAAACCCTGCTTAAATAAAAACTATTTCACAGACTCAATTCCTATGATGTCAGCCTTGCACCCAACAAATCAACTCAAACACACTTCACATCGGAAAAGCAGAAGCTGCTTGCTCCCCTGAGCCCAGACCTCCTTGAGAGATGCCGTCCCCGTGCGCAGGTGCCCTCGCCGAGACCCGCTTCGGGCACTGGCCCTCGGGACCTCTGCCCGCGCGCACGCCGTGCCCCTCCGCAGGCACCTCTGGCCTCCGCTCCCACGCCTTCTCCTACCTGCAGAACCCCCGGTACGCAGAACGCTAAGGAAGATGGGTGCAGGTAACAGACTGCAAAGACTCGGTGTGAACAACACAGCTGAAAAAAAGGCCTGGCTAGTGCAAGGTGTCTGATGTCCCCTCTCCTGCACAACCCGGTCCTCGCTACAGAGGACCCTCGCTAGGGCACTGGCCACACTGTGGGGAAGCTCCCTCCAAAGGTCTGAGGTAGGCTTGTAAATTCCCAGTAAAAAGCGGGATGCCTTTGAAGGCTTGCTTCTCCGACAGCGTCTTCTACTTGAGAAGCCACCGGGTAAGGTCTTTTATTCGGCACTGCGGACCCAAAGAGACGAGAACACACTTCTGTGGTTTCGTACTTCCTAAGTGAAAGGTCCGTACACGGCCCGCTCCCATCACGGTCCCGGATACGGCCTGTTTTGGGAAACGAATGGCCCGGGCCACTTGACGCGAGTGCTCCCCGAGGGCTCCGGCCGTGCCCGGAGCAGCACAAGCTCCGCCAGAGGCGGCCGCTTCCCGCCGGGATCTGCGGAGCGAGGTGCCGATCGCTCGTGGCTTTGCTCCCATTCGAGCCTTTCCTCACCGGGACTTGCGCACGCGTCCAAAACCGAAAAGGAAAGATCCAGTTTCCCGGCACAAACGCAGCCTTCGGGGAGAAAAAAGCGCGAGGGCTTTCGGGGCAGCGCGGCCCTCGGGAACGAAGCCGGCCGCCTCTAGCGACCCTCGC